AACACACACACACACACACACACACACACACACACACACACACACACACACCATATATATGATTATGTACTCACAAAGGAGACTATTTGTAAAGAGTAAGGACAATCCAAGGAAGGTCAGGAGAGAGTAATGAAAGTAAAGCTCATCAAAACACATGACATTGAAGAAATTGTCATAGATCCAATTGCATGATGAATCTATACTGATAAAATTTGGGCAAATATATATTTGCAATGATTGTTCATTTATAAAAATGACTAATGGTAAAGTAGGACCATTTTCTACATTTGTAAGTGAATTAAAAAGGATGCAGTTCTGGCAATGGAGGTTTTGTCAAGTTCCCATTTGATTGATTGATACAACTATCACCTTACCCAGCCAGTGCCTTCAAACATTTTGAGGTCCAAAGGGTCTCCTTGGATGGTCCCATCAAGAAGGATCAGGGAATGGCAGCTGGTCATGGCTGCACACAGTGGGCCCCAGGGCACAGTCTGGCCTGAAGCAAAGCTGTGGACTGCCTGGAAACTTGTTAAGAGGATAATGTTAAAATTTTCAGTAAAATAATTTGCATGATCTGCCCCTTAAACCTTACCCAGTCCACACTCTGGCTAGTTTTCCCTTACCCTAGGACACTGCAGTGACTTTCCTGTATTCTGTACCACTGCTTCCTAACCTCTGAGTTATGAAAAATATAGTAACAGTTAGATGTTACTGAATGTCAACAACTACACATTAATTTAAAACCAAATGTGTAATGAATTCAAGATGTTTTGTACAGTGCTTACCCCGACTCCTGTGACTTCATTGCAGCCTTAGTTCTGAACATACAACATGCCCAGATGGCATGGTGCATGTCAGTACACCAGGTAGAATCAAGGAACAATGCCCAGAACACCTTGGCTCAGAACACAAACTGTCTTTGCACTATAAATTGCAGTGTTTATACTATACACACACATCTTTCTGCTAGAGAATATAATGGTTTTGTCATGGTAAACAAAGACTTCTTAATATTTTCCTGGTATCATTCCTTAGCATGTATTAAAATAATATACCTTTTTGTGGTATTCTATTAGAATATTTGTCTTAAAATTTACTGTGAGAGATGCTGGGAACTTGTACTGTGAAATATTAAAGATGTGTTACATTCATTTATGCTGTAGAATATTTGCTTAATGATGCAAAGAGGTATTGCATTCTTTTAGGTTGCATTTGTTTAACTTTGTGAAGCTGTGTTACTCTGCCTGCCTAAAACAACCAATTGGTCTAATAAAGAGCTGAATGGCCAATAGCTAGGCAGGAGAGGGATAGGTGGGGCTGGCAGGCAGAGAGAATAAATATGAGGGTAAATCTAGGCTCCAGAGAAGAGGGAAAGGAGTGAGAAAAGGAGGAGAGGATGACATTAAGGGGCCAGTCACCCAACCACATAGCCAGCCATAGAGTAAGTAGGCAAAAGAGGTATACAGAATAAATAAAGGTGAAAAGCCAGAGACAAAACGTAGTTAAAGAGAAATGGGATAATTTAAGTTAGAAAAGCTGGCTAGAAACAAGCCAAGCTAAGGCTAGGTATTCGTAAGTAAGAATTAGGTCTCCATGTATTTATGTAGGAAGTGGGTATCAGGCTCTGAAAGAATAAAAAGAGAAAAAAACTACAAACTTGCATTTCATTATAAAAAACATCAAATGAACTTTGCTTTGGATCAGGATGGAATGTCCAACAAATTCTGAAATGCCCCTATGCATATTTCCATCATTTTGTAGTATGCATTTATATAAAGCAGCAGTCTCAGCATTGACAATTATAAGAACAAAACACTAACCAAGATTGGAGAGGACCTGGGATCAGGTCACAGGACCCAGAAGGCAGCTCAGAGTCATTGGTAGCAACAACTCAAGGGTATCTAATGCCCTCTTTGGACATCCATGGGCACCAGGTTCACACCTAATGTATATGCCTATGCTCAGGCACCCATGAAGACATACAAAATACTTAAAATACCCTTTTAAATGTAAAAAAACCTCATCAAATCTAACTAACACCAAGTATGCTCCTTCTGTATCAAATATTCAACCAAGATTTAATTCATTATTTAAAAACAAGAACATTCACATTGTTACTATGCAAATTTGCTTTTGTCTTTAATAAATGGCCAAATTGTATGCATAGCGAGCATATTTTTAAAATAAATTTATGATTCATTATCAGTAAGTTTTTGGTTTGTATATTCATTTTTTGTACTTATATACCTGGGGCCACATACATATTTTCTTGGGTAAAAAGGATCATAGTTAGAGATGTTCTAAGCCACCTGTTAATCAAGGCTACCTGTCCTAGCTCCAGCTCATCTTACAGCTGATGATCCTGCCAATATCCTCATGCCCTCAGTCTAGAGCTAGACTAATCATCTCCTGCTGTCTCTACTTGTTCAGGGATTTCTTTGCTCATGGTCCTCTGCTCAGCGGGGATTTTCAATTTTCAACTGGAGTATTCTACCTGCAAAGAAATGTTTACAAAAACCTTCTTTGAGTTGGCTATGGATTTTCCCTTCTATATAGAATGCCACTGATCAATCAAAAACCAAATTCAAGGGGTCATGGGTTTATGTTGCATATAAACCCATGGAGCTCTCTAACAAGCCACATACCCTAAGCAAGAAGACTTTTGATGCATGATGCAATGGGGACAGGAAGAAACCTGCTTAATGATTCCAGGCAACTGGAAGCAAGCAGAGGCTTTGAACTGACTCTCATTACTCAGTTGCTTGGAGTCTACCACCATCTCCTGAAACTTCTAGTCCACACATCCTGCCACCAAAGCTTCTTCTCCTTATTGACAGTATAGCATGGCATCATTTACCTTCATCTCCTCCTAATTTCAAGTTGAATAGTGATTATGTTTAGTTGATTCTACCTCCTTGAAAGCTTCAGCATGCAAGGGCCACAGGAGGAAGATGGGAGTGGGAAGACCCTCCTCAGCCTTCATTGCCCTGGACCACAGGCACACTGCTTCTCTAGACAAAGGTCTCACCAATGCATATGAACAGACAGGAGCAGGCACACACGAATAGAGCTAGGCATGAAGTTATTCCTTGTGGTCAGCCTGAGCTATTGTCTGCAACCTTGTACCATGCCTGTGCCAAACCTGGTCCCATCACTAGCATGGAGGACCCTCCTGCTGCCTCAGCCACTGTTTGGAGATGGAGTAGGATAATCAAAGCTGAAAAGCAGGCACTATCACCATTGAGAAGGCACAAAGGCATATGTCAGTCATGCAGGAAGGATCTGGGACCATTCCCTCTCCCAACTCTTGTCCTGCTCTGGGGTGTTCATCTATATAGTTATCTTCTTTGCTTTACCATAATAGCCTTCAGCCCAGGTCTGTAGAATTTCAACCTAGATACGCTTTAAAATCCACTTCATATGCCATCATTTTCAAAGAGTTATCATTGGTGCACTAAAATTCAAAATGAATTTCTACCTTCAATCATCATGTGTCATAAAAAATCAGAGCTGTGTGTTATATCAAGGAATTTTATTATTTTGTCTCCATTCTGATTTTCTGTCTTCATAGTATATTTTCATGACCTGTGTTACATATCGAAGGTGAGTTCACCCATGTGTTTTAGACTGTGAGCTCCGTAGGAAGGCAATGGAGCCCTTTTCTGGGTCTCTGAACACTTGACTTTTCCAGCCACCCAGGAAGCCTTGCTATCATTAAGCATGTTTTTGAGTCCACTCCTTGATCCTGTCTCACTAATTCACTTCCTTAATCATCTACCTCATTCTAGTACATTTTTCATGCTGAATTTTCAGATCTACTTTCTTTGTCTGACTCAGAATTTGGGACACATTTGATTAAACAAGTTGGACTAATTGGGAGCCAATGTGAATCTTATTCCTCAAGCCTGCAAGGGTGGATTTGAACATCAGCATACTAACACCACCACATCTCCCATATTCCAGTCCTACCAGTCGCCAGCTGTGGGGACAGTCCCCCAGAGGTCCAGTCCATCTTCTGTGAGAGTTCCTGTCTGAATCAAAAAGTTATAATTGGCTTTAAGCAGAATAGTTATAGTATTGATACCATAATTTAAACAAAACCCAAGTTTTCAAGAAACTACATCATACCCGTCATCCAAAACCTTGTTTATAAGCATTCGCTTTTAAACCTAGTGAAGGAGCCCCCCGAAGTTGCAGTTTTTATGTGACACTGTACAGGAGTTTTGTTTGACTCTTGTTTTCTTGTTGTCCTGTCTGATGCAGTTATTACAATGAGGCTCTGTGAGAAGAAATCCAACAAGAGCCACCTCAGAACCCACTCTGAAGTACACACTTACTGTCTTTCAAAACAGAGCTTGGGGTTTTGTTGTTATTTTGTCTTGCTTTGCTTTTGTTTTTCTCTTTCCAAGTTAATCTACTTCTTGCCATTTGATTCAGCATCATTTTCTAAGACCATGGCTGATGCAGTAACTCTTCAAATTGTAATGTTGATAAGGAACTTTGGGTCCTAATAATAAGTGTCAATGAATACCTGTGAGTTTCATTTTCAGATCAAGAGGAAAGTGGTCATGAGATACTCCATATTATGGGAAAGTATTTGTCAGTCTATGTAACCTAGGAAGCAAAATAGAATTGAGTCTATTGGACCATTTTCATGTCCCAGCTATTCATTAGCTGCTTGCCCTGTGATCTGGCAGCCTTGGGCTAATCACCCTGGGCCTGCTCAGAGTAAGTAGAGCTGTTGCTGCTTCAGAAAGACATGACACTCCTAAGTACAGGCACCAGCAGCTCCATCGGGAGCTATTTAAACCCACTGTCATGCATTTCCTAGCTTCCTATTGGATGGCACCATCTGTCATCACAACACAACATTATCAGTGTGATGGTTTACAGACATGGGATTACAAAGCTCTCCTTCTGATAACTGAGCAAACACAAAAGAATCAAACAACTGTGCTCCACTAGGAGACATGGTCCACAGCCTGAAAGACAGAACTAGAATACAGACAACCTTCCTCCAGAAGGGATGTTGGTGAATTCTGTCAGGCATGTGGGAAGATAAAACCGGCTCTTAGTCTCCACATACAAAGAATTAAAGATTCCTTCTTTCTCAAATTCATTCGGCCTTCCCAAAGACAGGCAGCAGGCTGGGAGGAGTCATTCCTTAAGGGAAATGCTCAGAAAGAAGGGATTTGCTACAATTCCCTCCCACATTCTCTAAGGCATCAACCTGTATGGTCACCATCCAAACCCCCTTGGGTTGTTCCATTTTGGAAAGAATTAGCAGCTTAACTTTAACTGAGGTGTTTTCCTTGGGTGGTTATGCTTTTAAGCATCAATGTTTTGCGAATGAACACAGAGCAACTTGGCAACAGGGTGAGAGAAATGAGACCGTGTCACTTTTCCTTTGAAAATAATTTCGTCTAAGAAAAATAAGCTCAAGTAGAAAGAAACGAAATTATAGTTCTAACCTAAAGTGAGTAGAATGGAAAAGGAAAAACTCTTATTATAAACTTAAAGCCCAAGCTCGGGCTGAGTTGAATAGAAAAATCTGTCTTAGAGAGCATAACACACACACACACACACACACACACACACACACACACACACACACACACACACACACACACACGGAGAAGGGGGGGGAGGTGTATAGAAAAAATACACTCAGAAGCCCAGTGATACAACACTGGCTGGAAGTTGATTGTAGTTAATTGTGGGGTGTTCTATTGCTACATAATGTTGATAGAGTTCTATAATGTAAAGCTAGAAAAAGAATTTAAAGATAATTATAGTTCAAGCTTTTTGTGTCAAATAGCAATATAGACACAGAAGTTAATTGTAGTTAATTGTGGGGTGTTCTGTTGCAACATCATGTTGATGGAGTTCTATAATGTACATCTAGCAAAAAAAAGAATAATTATAGTTCAAGCTTCTTGTGTGAAATAGCAATATAGACACTTAGTTTTGAACTCGGGTTTAGAGTCCTCATTTTGCCACACCACATCAGGTGCTCCAGCACCACAAATGAGCTGCCACCCCGTGTGGCATTTGGCCAAGTGGAGGCAGCTCCTCTGGCTCTGGCAGATGATGGCACGAGGGTGTGGAGAAAAGTGTTACACAGGAAGTAAAATAACAGCCTCTGGGGGAAATTAGTCTTGTGGACAGGTGACTGTGTAAGGGGCCTGACTGATCCAGCCCTCCTGTATTCTGGGCACTCATGAGGCTGTTGGGAGTTTGAGAAGAGAGCCTAGTAGAAAATGGTCAGGGATCTGGAATCTGACCACGAAGCTAAACTCAAACTGTGGCTTGGCATCCTCTCTGGGTTCTATCCAATGGAGACTGGGCACTAGTTTTGCTAAATGGACAAGGAAGAGAGGGAGAAATTAAAATAAGCTAAGTGACATGCTGCTCTCACCTGAGGAGCAGGTCTCCTCGGCTTCCCCTCTTCTCCAGGTGCAGGACTATGAACAGTCTTTTCATTGTCCCCAGGTGGCCCAATCTCATCTCCATCCTTTCTGCTATGGTTTGAATGTTGACTCTCCCCTACAGGCTCATGTCTTTAGATATTTGGGGGCACTGTGTTGGAAGGCTGTGGAGACTCTGTGTGTAGACCTTGAAGGTTATAGCCTGTCTCTACTTCCAATCTAGCTCTCTGCTTCCTGTGGTGCCCCAGCTGTCTGTGAACAGTGTTCACAGCACCATTTCACTGGATGGTCCAGCTTCTTGCCCTATCCTGTGATCTCCTGTCCCTGAAATGTTGGATGCCTTTTACATCCTTGTGCTCTGAACAGGCCATCTCGGAATCTGGTCCATTCCATACTCTGCAGTTCAGAGGCGTCCTCCCACATTCGACAGATAAGCAACCTGCTGATCAGGTTGTTCCGACCCTCACCAAGCACACATCTCACAGTATGACAGTTGTCCTACTCCCTTATTCCCTACATCCGCAGCTAGATGCTAAGCCACCTCAAATTAAAAAAAAATGACCATTATGACACTCTGTAGGCACTGTGCATGACGTTGGCTCTTAAGGATGGGGTTGGCTGAAAAATGGTCAAAGTATGACAAATGAACTTAAACAGGGAAAGGCCAGCCAAGGTCCACTGCACTACAGCCTATGCAGGATGAGGACAAAATCTGGGTATCAGGGGACTGGAGTCACTCCTGGCTCCCATAGGAGAATTGTGGGAATCTTGGATCATGCCCAACAACAGCAGTCATCCTCATCAAGCATTTATTCTCCCTCTGCCACTTCTCCAGGCCCCTGAGTACAGACATAAGATGTTCTTAACCTAGATCCCTAACCCCTGGAAGAAGAGGAGAAAGAGTGGTGGGAGAAGTGTCAACACTGGCTATTGGCTACTGTCTTTTTCCTTCCAGGAAGCAGTGGGTAGAGGTGAAAGGGATTGCTCACATAAGTTCCAGACAATGCACTTTTAAAACATGGTTTTACCTGGAAAGGAAATTATCAGGGCAAGAGACTGTCTCCAGATAAAACACAGGTGCCGAGAGTTCTCAATTTTACCAAGGAAAGGAAACCATGATGAAGATGGCCACACTGTCACCCCCTGAGTCACTAAACTTGCTTTCTAGACTGTGACCTCACACAAGCTCACTCTGTGACTCTGGTCTCAAGTTTCTCAGCTGTAAAGTGGGAGCACTGAGACAAATATTTGGAACCCACCTTGTCAAAGCACACGAGGTTGATCTGACCACACATGTTGATTCTTTGTGGAGAGATGCAAAATATCTTCTTCTTCTTCAGCCTCTTCTGGGCATACACATTACCTATGGTCAGGGCAGCTGGGAGGACCGGAGGGACAGTGGCCGTGAGGAGGATCAGGGCCATGGTTGCCGTTTCTCTCGGAGGAACCTGGGGAGGAGAAAAGCATGAGCACGGGGCAGGGAAGGACAGTGCCTTTCTCTCAGCTGCCTCCTGTAACACCTGGGAGCCCTGGACCCTGGCTCACAGTATTCCTGGTGGGTCAGTAGCTTTCTTGGTGAGGTTTGACTGTCCCTAAAGCATGCACATATTGTCCCTACTACACACCAAAGGAGACCCTTTGACCCCTATGCCACGTCTGACCTTTCCTGACTCAGTTTCCCTCCATCTGAACATCTATGTCCCCTTTATTCATCATAGCTTCTCAACTCCCAGGGGCTCACATGGGCACCATTCTGTTCACGAAGGCAGGTCTTAAGTCGTGACTGTTCACTCCAAACGTTGGCATTGGTTTTGACATCTCTCTCCCTCATCAACCTGCAAATATCCTGGGCACAGGAGCTCATTCACCTTTGAATCCTTGTTTGTCTGAAAGTTTAAAGGGCAGCTCAGTGTCTGGGGCAGAGGTGGTACTCAGTATATAGACAGAAGGAATGGTGGCCTGACAAACAGTGGAACCAAGGCTGCCAAGATCGCAGTGCTGTAGTGTGTTCCTAGCTCTGGGAAAGCCAACACTGAGGTTAGTTTCTCTCACTATGAAAGCCACGTGTCTGCACCAGATACATTATTTAGTTGCTTCCTGCAACCACTGATTTCTCCACTTTCTCCAGCTACTCACACAGAGGACTTTTGTCCCTGCAGACTCCACCTTGTCTAACCAATTCTGAACCAATGCAGACAGAGGCAGCCACGGGGCCAAAGTTTCTGACCTACCAGGTCTGCCATCCAATTCCCAGCCTTGGTGTGGATTGCATGTTGAACTCTGTCCAGGAAACCTTCACTTCTAGGCTGTTCCAAGGCTTATTTCACTTTTCTGATTGGTACTTCTGCTTTCCGGGTCAAACTGGAACACTGCATTACATTCTGGCCGGAATGGCCTTGATATTCTGCCTAGTTCACCTCAGATTCCATACCAGTGACAAATGCACTGGACTACTTGGGGCTCCCTCTCTGGAGCCTTATGCCAGTTTGAAATGACTATGCAGAGGATTTTAGCCTGAACATTAACTAGAAATAGCTCTGGATTAAGTCATCATCCACAAATATCCCTGTTGCATGCACACTCACCAACACCCAGCATTCCCTGGTACTACCAGTTTGAACAATGCCCAGCTTCACACCCATGCCTTATTTATAACTCCCTCTTCTTCTTAACCAGCTCCATAGGATCCCAGAATGTCTTGGAGGCCACATGAATGCACATCAAAGCAGAATCTCAGAATCAGAAAAACCCTCAGAGGTGAGTTACAATGACAACCTCTCCCTCCATGGCTACCAGTGAAAGGAAGCACCCACATGAACCTGGTAGTGCACCCACATGAATTTGGTATCTTAGCACCCACATGAACTTGGTGCCCTGTAGCGCACCCACACCACTTGGTGCTCTGTGGCTTAAAGGAAAGTAGAAATCCCACTAGGCATCATCAGATCTGGAAAGTAAAAGTATATGTTTAATTCTGCTTCAAATACCAAACAGAAAGCGTGAGCAAACCACTTATGTCGTGTGTGGAGTTTACTTGTGACACCACTTTCAAAGCTGCATGGGAAATGTTAAAACTAGATGTGCCATTCAAAATCCCCTTCATTCTGACCTCTTCCTACCCTGCTAGGCTTCCCCTTTAACTGCTTGTCAGTTCTAGAAGGCACTTTTGTATTTCTGTGGTTTGTTCATTTAAATTACTGTGCTCTTCCTGCCTTCTGACTGGATTAACAAACTCTTCGAACCTGTTTGAATGGGTGTTAAAAACATGGATTTCCTATAAAGCTCTTCGGGCTTGCATATTGCCTATGTCTCCATTGGAGCAACCCCTCATTGCAAACCAAACGGTGGAGCAGCCAATAAATTGTGCAACAGAGATAGAGAGAGAGAGAGAGTGACAGAGAGAGAGAGAGAGAGAGTCTGTGTGTGTGTGTGTGTGTGTGTGATACATGCACGTTCTCTTTAGAGGCCAGAAGAGGGCACTGGATATCCTGGAGCTGACCTTACAAATGGCCCTAAGCTACTTAATGTGGGGACTGGAAACCAAACCCTGATCCTCTCTGCAAGAGCAGCAAGCCCTCTTCACTAATGACCCATTTCCCCAGAACCCTGTACAACTTTTCATGCTCTGCTATCCAACATGAATATAAATGGAAAATTCAGTTGCCACATGTTGCTAAGTGCTATAATTATATTTGCATATGTGAACATATATACATAATTGTGTGTGTGTGTTTATGGGAATTAAATCCAGGGCCTTGTACATGCTAATCAAGCACTCTACAACTGAGCTAGCTATATTTTCAGGCAAGTCTTTTCATTCTGGAGAGGCAGGCTCAGAATGTTTCTACAGTCTAAGAAAGTTCTTTTGGACAGCAGCACTGATTTCCAGAATCACGGGCTCTACAGTCAATCTTATTTAACCCTCAGGAGTTAGGTCAAGCTCTCAAGAACTATGATTGGCAAGACTTTGTCTCAGTACTTACTTCATGGTACATATAGATACCCAGGGCATAGAAAAAGCCCACAACACCCATACAGGCCAGGAACACCATGAACTTGAAGGCATCATTATACAGTTTGAAGTTCAGAGGTCGGGGGTAGAGGATGGATCTCACCAAGTCCCCTTTTGCTGTATTATAACCTAGGAAGAAAACCACAGAGGGATAAAGTCTCTGCTTCATTCCAAACATACACAGCTGTGACACTGGAGTCTGAGAGTGGCTGGACCACTGGATTCTAAAAGTGGCTGGACCACTGGAGTCTGAGAGTCAGTGCCTGGGCCACTGGATTCTTTTTTATTATTATGTATACAACATTCTACTTCCATGTACATCTTCACACTAGAAGAGGGCACCAGATCTCATAACGGATGGTTGTGAGCCACCATGTGGTTGCTGGGAATTGAACTCAGGACCTCTGGAAGAGCAGTCAGTGCTTTTAACCTCTGAGCCATCTCTCCAGCCCCCTGGACCACTGGATTCTAAAAGTGGCTGGACCACTGGAGTCTGAGAGTGAGTGACTGGGCCACTGGAGTCTGATATGGAAACAGTGTTGCTATGACCTAACAGTGCCTTTGCCTTCCTTGTCAAAAGTCACAGAGAGCAATCAGTCGAAATCACTCAACCCTGTTTAATTTCTCTTGTCCTGGGTGGGAATCAGTGCTTCAGTGGTCCCACAGTACAATCATCCATTCATCTGCAGAGTTAAGAAAAACCAGACTTGTGAGTTGAAAACTGTAACCAGAGAAAATGAGATGCCATGGAAAACCTTTAAAACTAGTGTGTGTTGCAAACAGATACAAGTCAGAAAAGAACTGAAAATTTAAAGAAGCAGAAGACATAAAGCAAGTTATTTCTTTAAGATATAAGTGCACAGGTTCTCATCATGACTTCCTTGTGCTCCAAAACCTCTCAGGGCATGGATTTCCTTAGACCGAAGCTCAGAGGTCTAGGCACAGTACTGAAAGTCCCCTTCAAGACTGTCTGCGTCTATTTTTTTAGCTTATATTATATGTATATAATTATATTTATATAAAAAGAGCAAAAATGGCAATATGTTATGCATCAATAGCAGCAACAGCTTTTCCAGGTTCTGTAGTCCTTTGAACAAAATTGCAGAGACATCCAGCACACTCCATTTTTAAAAAAACAAAAAACAAACAAACAAACAAACAACAACAACAAAAAAGTAAAAAACAAAATCCCAGAAGACAGCACAGTTCTGTTACTCTTGTGGTACTTGGAACCTTTTTTTTTTTTAATTAGTTTCTCAGTCATCATCTGTGAGGAAACCATTCTGAGCAACATCATTGTTAAAAACAGCTCTGATAAAGCATGGTCACTACTGTGTATCAAGTTGATAAACTACCTTAAGGAATCAACAGTCCCAGAAGACCCCTGCACTTTCTATTGTGTGCCTATCTTTCTAGCTTTCATATGATTGGCCAAGTGCTCCCTCCCCTGTCAGGCTTGGTTTCAAATGCCACCTCATCAAAAAAGTGTTTCCTGAATTCTATATCCATACTTGAACCAGAAATAATTTATTCCCTGCAATATTGGTTATATGGTGTCTCTCACCACTCCATAGTTAACTGAAAGTTACTGTAAGTACATCTGTCTAACTCTTACATCATACTATAACCTTCCTTAAAGGGATAGACATTCATTTATTAACTTATATGGCATTTAGTATATGTTCACTTCTGCCTGACTTATTCACTAAAATGATTGGCTGGTCTAAATTTTAAATATGAGTCAGTGTTTTAACTATAAAATGTGCCTTATCTCTATTTGTTGTTGGGCACATGGTTTTCTCAAACATGAGTTTCTGGACTTTGGAGAATAGGAGCATAGTTTTCTCTAAGTTGCCACCCAAGCACTTAGAAGTTCTCATAAAAAGGTATGGTCTCTTAATTCAGCTTCATGCTAAAGTGAAAATATCATTGCTTTTGGGGACTTTAAACCTTGGTTTCTGTTTAGATATCTGGCTGAGGGATCCCAGAGCTTTTTTAAACATAGAAGCCATATTTTATATTAAAACAGTATTCAGGTAACATAAATGAATAACAGACCAAACTAAAGCATAGCATCAAAGTGCAAGATTGTGTCTTTTTGTCTATGGATGTGTGTAGCAGCACAAACACACTCTGAGTCAGAGTCAGGTTAGGGGAGGTCTTGGTTGTGTATTGTCACATGAAAACATGAAAATTACTACAACTGTGAAAACATTCTGAGCATGCTATGAATGTACAAAGTAAGCCAAGGAAACACATCTGTGATGAGAGCTGAGTAACAGTTCAGAGGGCGATTAGAACAAAAGCTAAAAGGGAACAGTCAAAAGAGTCTTTCTGGCAGGATGCTGTAGACCTGAAATGGCAAAGCCTGCATAGTTGGCAACCATGACAGAGAAGGCACGAGGACCATGACTCAGCAGGGGATAGCAAAGTCCTTAGGATTTGATGCCTTTTTGGTCTAAGAGAAGGAGAGGTGTTAAAGATGATACTAACAGCTGGGTGGTGATACTGTTCACAGAGAGGTCATGCAAGAAAATGAGTGAATATCTAGACCCCTGACTCTAAAGTGTCTGCAGAGCCATTGCCTTGTTATCCAGCAAGCAACCTTTGGAGATGAAAATCCTTCTTAGTTGTTGTGGCTGGCATAGCTTTACAGGAAAACACTCAGAGGAAACACTGGAGGAAAAAAGAGAAGCCTACAGACACATCTATGCATGTCACTCAACACATACAAGGGTTTAACAATGAACAGTCAATTCAAGGCAATGGCAACTAAGAATCACAAGGGTCTGGTTAGGAAAGAGTGTGGCTGCTATTACCAGAATATAGCAAACTCCAAAATCCTAAGCAAAACTTCTCACCTCCAATTCTCCCCACCTCCAGAACAACTTAAATTTACAAAAGTTGAATCCACTCACCTGTCTGCAGAACAACGGCTCTAACAGGTCCCTGCCCAGATGGCTTGACCTGGATCACTTCCGTTCCACAGAAAAGCACGTGCTTCCGGTAGTCCTCTAAGCTGTGGGATTTCCAGGGCATGGTGTTCTCCGTCTGAGGCAATGGTGTCTTTGTAACAGGTATACTTTCTCCTAAAGGGGGTTGAATTTTCTTGATGCTGTGTAAACTTGGGTAGTTATTCAGAACAGGCACAGACCAGTTTCAAGGAACTGCATAACCACAACCAAACCCATTTTAGTACTCATCCCATGAGTCAAATGACTGGTCAGGGATGCCTGCAGTTCATGCAATGGTAGGACTGGTTCTGGTTTAAATATTTGTTCTAACTCTGCTCACCACTCTTATACGTTGAATGTGTGGTTTGTTGTCATAATTGAATGAGAAGGCTAAGCATCTATCACCCAGCATTGTTCCAGAAACTGTAAACATGTGCTTGCTTGTTTCCGTTTGCCTTTCATTTGGTCATTTATCCACATATCCATATATTTTCCTGTTTATTCCACAAATACCTTAAAGTGCTTATTCTGTGCCAGAAATAAAGTGTACATTCTGTTAAGTGCTGGGAATATAATGGTAAACAGGACACAGAAGCCTGGTCTTCTACAAGCTCGTGGTCCCAAGCTAGAAAATGATAATCCTTCTACACATTTTCCAGGTGACTCCTAGCAAAGCCACCATTCCATTTGTCCATGTTAGGGTTTAGATTGCTGCAATGAAACACCATGAGCGAAAGGCAAGTTGTGGAGGAAAGAGTTATTTGGCTTGTACTTCCACAGTGTAGTCCATCACAGAAGAAAACCAGGACAGGGACTGAAACAGGACAGGAACCTGGAAGCAAGAGCTGATGCAGAGGCCATGGAGGGATGCTGTTAACTGGCTTGCCCCCACAGCTTGCTCAGCTTGCTGTCTTAAAGAATTCAGGACCACCAGCCCAGGGACAGCATCATCCACAATGGGTTGGTACCAGGGACCTACAGGCTTGCCTTCAGCCCTATATTATAGAAGCACTCTATTAATTGAAGTTCCCTCCTTTCAGATGACTTTAGCTTGTGTCAAGTTGACATAAAACTGACTAGCACACCATTATTCCGTTTTCTAAATGGAAAAAAAAAATCCTTCCCCTTACCATTACAAAATAAACCCCAGACTCTCCTTGTAGATTCCCAAAGCCCACCAGAGTTCCAATAGCCCCCTGAGTTTATTCCCAACAAGCTCCAGCTGAGCAAGGCCCTTTCTGACTGCTCAGTCATCCTCTCAGAACCCCCTAGTCTTGGCTTCCACAGTATCTGCCCCCTTCTCAAGGAAGGTGACATTCTGTAAGACAGAATGTTGGAGGTACAAAGAAAGAAAGTTAAAAGTTCAAAAGAACACATTTCACAGTCAAAAAAATGGTGGATGACACTTCATACTTCCCAGATTTAAAACATACTAGATCAGTCTTTTGCTAAATGTTCAATTAGCAAAATAATACATCATCTTTCTAAGTTAGAAATGGCATTATATTGATTATATTTATATTTCTTACTATGAGGGCAAGAACTTTGTCATAAAGAACTTTCTATACTTCCTCATTTTACTCCATGGCATAGAATAGGTTTAAAATGTGTTTTCTGCTAAGTTCATAAAAGCAATTACTTAGGTTCTTCTATTATTGCTCTTTCAAAGCTAGTTTTCTGGCGTGGAGAATGTTTACATTGTAAGGCTAAAGAAACATTTTATTGCAGACTTGAATATTCTTCATCAAATCCCTTGACCTGAGCACTGTCCTTACTCCATTTTCGTTAAAAGAGTGATGATGCCCCTTCACTGTGTAGATTTACCAATTGCATCCAAAACGACTCTGTAGAAGACACCAAACCTTTGGCAAGTCTCCAAATAATTGCACTGTGTTGTTTTTGAAGACAGTTTCTGTACTCTGTAGGTACTTACAGATTACTTTGTGTCAAGAAATATTAACCCAGATTATTGCTTTGCCTAATATGATAGTCTTTTAAAGACTCCAGTGAAATTAGAATCCGACAGACACTGATCAAATGAAGTCACCTCGAGATAATGTTATTGAAATGACACTCCAGGCAGATACATTTACACAGAATAAACACTACTGGTATATTATTAAGAATCTCCTGCCTGGGCTTTTCTGGGGAGTCCAAAAAGAGATGGATTCACCTGCCAAAGATAATGGTGCAAGGAGGTTTATGTTACAGAAAGAAGTACTTTGATTGTGGAATCTCAATTATAGAGTTGGTACCGGGTACTTTGAGACCTCAGCATCCATCAAACAGAGATTTTTCCCACGTTCCCACCAAGCTGGATGCCACTTCGTGCCGACAATGCTTGAAATGCCATGCTCTTGTTTATGGCATCACTGGGACCATTTGACAGAAAATGATCTGCCAGTGGAGCCAGTTTTCCTTTATCTTCCTGGTCCCAGCACTGTGCCTGGCACATTATAGGCATTCAGAACTTGTATCAAGTAAACAGACAAACAAGCAAGACAAAGGGGGAATGAAAGGAAAAGAAGAAAAATGGAAGAAAGGAGAGAGGAATAGGTATGATCTACTCTGCTTACAAGCTGGTGTGGCAGAATATCAATTGAGAAAGACTGCAGAGGCAAAATCCTGTGCATCCATCTCAGGTCACTGCATCTGTCCTAAACTTAGGCTGCAAATCAATCAGTTCTTTCATGAGTAGAGGGAGAAGGAAGAAGCTGCCCTTTCTCACTCAAGCATCCTCAAGAAAACCAGAAGGCACTGACTGGACCCACAGGCTCTGGGTGAGCAATGTGTTGGCTTGGGTGTTTTTCTTCATGAAACAGTTGTTAGGAATGTGTGTTATTTATGACTTTTGTGTTTTCCATTTGCTCCAGAAACATTCCCAACCTTCCCAGCCCTGCTCACTGATGTATCCCCAGGAGATGCTATGCTAATAAACTGGTGAAATCAGGGAATGAACAGCCACACAAATGCACCCGGATCTCAGAAGCAACATTTTTATCCTGTGTGAATACCAGGAAATGATTTCTCCTCTCTTGGCCTCAGAATCACCCACCTAACAAACTCCAGAGTAAATGGAATACTGTGCAAAATGTTGGTATAAAACAGCACATACTAAAACTAAGAAAATGGTAAATATTAATGAATTCTCCCCCATCATATGCCCCTTTGTGTATATCCTCCTCCCCCTTGGGGAAAGCAGGGTACTGAAGGAGGCAATTACCGCAGGGAATGAGGCACAGGGGACAGGAAAATTGGAAACTGGTGTCTAAATCCTGAAAACCATGTGTGAGTTTGATTGTGGATACTAGTGATTCCAGAGAGTAAGAAAGACCTTCTCATCCCCATGCTGCCCCTCTCTGAATTTCCAGCTAAACTAGCAGCTCTGAAAGAGCAGGAAGGGGGAATCCAAAGGAGACTTATGTACCATGTGTCCATAAGAAAAGGTATCTGAACCTTAGCAGTCTATGAAAACACTCAATAAAGCCATGGGAACTGGGTGTCAGGCCTCAGACAGCTTCCCAGATGCTGGGAGACAACAAGCACAAAAAGACCAACCCCATCCTGCCCTGATGTCCTACAGGACTTGACTAGCCAGAGTGGAGTCAGGAGTAACTGAGGCAATGTCACTGACTTGCATCAAAATAAACACCAAGCCTAGTTACAAAATAAAGCCAAGCTTTTTGCAAAGCAGAGACAGTTCAGGGGAATATTCTGCCAACGGGTGGGTGCTGTTGGAGGGAATGGCTGCATAGAGTAAAGGGTGACAGGGTCAAAAGGAAAACAACAGCTTTCCCACCTCAGACTCATCTTCTGCACTCAGGTGCCACTTTGTGTTTGGAGACAAATGCCACCTCCAGTTCTGATTCCATGACTGGTCATTGAGCAGCCCTGGTCTATGTTCAACTCCATTCCTTCATTTGTAAGTTGGTATTTTAATGGCTCCTGCCTGGACTTGTTTGATAGCATGGTGAAGTAAGATATAAGTGCTATTTATAAATATGTTACTATATGATACTAGGAGTGTTTATATATTATTTTAACATAATAAAACATCCATATCTGCAAAGGTTATTTTGCAAATGGAAAATATATGCATCTGAGCTGCATTTGTGGACACATACCCTAGCACTGACGATACTGCAGCCAGGAATGACTCTAACATGGTGGCTCCATCTGAATGCTTTTCACCATATGTATGCCAGTGGAGTCCAGTTCCTACACAAAATAAAGTAGTGCATGCTGGGATTTATGCATTCTGGAGAGATTAATGAGAAACATATAGTTTCATATATTTCTGTTTCACTGAGTCTGGCTCTAAAATGGATCATTTTATTATTGGTGCTGGTGACTTCAGCTTTGCCATAGGTGAGCAAAGGAAAGGCTCATTGTTATTGAAGGTCATTTTACATCAGTTTCAATACTCTGGAATATTCTGGCTTTTTCTGATACTTATGAAAGGAGAAGGTCTGAGCCTTCCTATTTTTCCTGTCTCTGATGTCCCAATGTCATGCTCTCTGTTACTCAGTGAGACAAACATGCAGAGTACAGGCACACTTAGGATGTGGGAACACAGAGGGCAGAGGCCAGCCAACATCTTTCTTAGCTTGAGGTATGCATATTGGGTACTACACCAACATTCATTACCACCATCACAAGGCAGGTTGATTTCAACACATGAAAGGAGATAGTTTATAATTATACCAAGCATATTTGGGTTTACCATATTATGTCTCCATTTAAAATTAAGTAGAGCCATTTATAAATGTTAAGATCCACTTAAGTTGAACAACGTAGGAGCAGCCAGTGAATTTCCATTACACTCAGGTCATGTTCAAGGTTTGTGTGCACTTCTTCCCATCTTTGTGCCAGATGGAAGCAAGAAAGTTTAGCAATCTATCGGCACAAAGGACAAACAGCTTTTAGCTCTGTGCTTCCAAAAAGTCTCTTGTTAAAATGTGCTACATGATTTCCTAAACTAAAGGGCAATTGTATAAATAGCATCTTCCTAGTTATACAATTACAAGAAGGCTTTAAAAACTGTAGGTGAGCACTAGAGCCCTCTTAACCGCGACGTGAGATCCACAGGGCTGTGACTCTGAAAACAGAAAAGCAAGCTGTTGTCTATTCTCAAGCTCACTAGAACTTTGCCATGAGACCCAGTTCTAAGGAGTTCCCACCTGCAGACCACATGGTTAAGCAGATCTCTCCTCCCTTCTGACTGGGACCCGAGGGACTTTTAGACTGTGCTTTGTTTTTATTCAGATAGAACCATTCTCAGATTTATGAAGAGACTGCATTTCAACCCAATTATGAACCCAAATCTCCTTCCATTCACCCCTTCAGGTCACCATTCAGAAAAAAAAAAAATCCCACATGATAGTAAACGTGTCCTCTAGGTTTCTGTTTTGTGGCTTAGTCCTATTATTTACCAACACTGTCGGCTTGTGTGTTCTGTGTCTTTCTTTGAATAAAAAGGCAGCATGGATCTCCCTTATCTACTTCACGTCTCAGTGCAGGGACTGGTCCCAGCCAAATAGGGATAGTTGATGCGATTTGCTAACGCTTGGCCTAGCTGTTGTGTAAGAAGAGGATGTTGGGTGACAGCAGCCTACCTGTGAGCATCCCTTCATTTACCACACAGCTCCCATCAATCAGGACAGCATCACAAGGCAGTGACGTTTTCCCTGGAAGAATGAGAACATCTCCTGGAACCAGGAGACGGGACTCCAGCTCCTGCAGACCTAGGTGACAGCAGAAGTTCCATGACTGACTTGGTCTTTTCCTGTCTCCCCTTAAGAATTAAAATAACTAAGAACTCTTTTTTTTTTATTGTCATTGCTGCTTTATTTACTATATAAAGGGAATAGAGGCCACTTAAACACCCATAAACATTTAAATTGATAATTGAATTGTGTATTTATGCAAAATGGATTATTATTTGACAACAGTGATACATGATGACACAAAATATGTTAGTAAATTTTTGGAAGTATAAGGAAAAAAATTGAGTCAGGTAACACAAACTCGGTATGAAATTAAAACTTCCCATGTTTTCTATCATATTAAAATGGTATCTAATAATATCTACAGGAATATAATCAAACAGTTGTACCTCTTATCTGCTTATTTCCCAATTGGGCAAGACCTACCCTACCTAGTCACCTGCACGGGACCCCTTTCCACACAACTGAAACATCACTGGGGAATTAAATTATGAAATTGTTTCCTGGGGCTTAGAAATGGATGAGGAGCGACAAGTTCCTGTTTGGAACCTGGTACCCAGCCAGTCTCTGTGCAAAGTAAATTTTTCAGAGCATCTGACAAAAGGGAGGGAGGCACCCTCGGCTGCTTCTTGCTCTGTGTGGTCACTGGTACCCTGTGAGCACTTTGAGGCTACATGTAAACCTTCCAGAAACCTTCTACTGCTCTAGCTGAAGCTCTTTATTTCATACACATAACCTACCCCAAGCTAACTCAGAGCCAATGCCAAGAGTTCAGACAGTCTGCATCAAAAGGCTCCATTCAAGCCTGCACTCCAGATGACAGCTTGGAATGTATGATATAAGGTCTTTGGGGTGCATCTAGTTGAAAATAAAATAAAGGAGCTTTTAGTTTACACATGATATCCAATTGTATGAAATGTGGAAGGCAGAGGGAATTTGAAGCTAAAATCTATGAAAATGACAATGTGTAGGAATAGTCTGACCAAACTTTGGAAGCCCCAAGCCAGGCCTGGGGCTTCAAGCTGAACAGGGCAGTCACTCTCGGGGCTCTGCAGATGTGGGGTAAGCATTTGGAAACTTAGCCTCCTGCAATTTTATGAGTTAGATCCATCATTCATCTCCCTATACTCGCAATCCTGGATTCAGTCAGAGAGAAGTTCTGTCTTTGATAATGAGGACAAACAATCTTCTGTGCAGCCATGGTACGGAGACTGCAGCCTGAGCCACTCACCTTTGCCTTTCACGGTGATGGTGACCTGGACTTTGTTGTGATCCTCCACAAGGTCATGCAGCTTAACGGATTGCTGCCAATAAAAAGGCAAGACTTTACCAGCAGATAGTCTGTATCCTGCCACCCATTTCATCTAAGTATCATAAAGGACAAACCTGCTGCCACAGCCAAATGACCTGGGCAAATGACTTGGCTTCCACTTTCCATCTGTTCTTTTTGGTCTCTGAGACAGGGTCTTGCTATGTGGCCCAGGCCACCCTGGTACTATATAGCTCAGGATGGCTTCGAACTTTTAACAATCCATCTGTCTTCCTCAGCCTCCAAGAGCTGGGGTTGCAGATATGTCCCATTACACTCAACTGCTACTTTGGCTTTGACACTTCAGCTCCCCTGCTCCCACTCCTCCCTTCCTGACATGACTTTAGGAGCAATTCTTCCTGTGCATTTGATACAACTTTACTCCAATGGGGAAAAAATGATATACAACTACAGAGTCCAGGACACAGGGAGAGGAACCAAGGTGAAAAACCAAGCCTGAGTTTTCTCTGTAGATAACTGTCCACTTGGAAGCGTAGCCCCTGGTGAACTGCTTGCTCACACTGGGTGAGTGGCAAGGCTGGAGTCACACCTCCAGATATTTAATCCTGGTGCTAGCACAAGTAAGTCAGTGAGTCTGTCTAACCCCGTTTTGCTTATGATAACATAAACCTTTGGAAGAGGTGTTTTGAGTTTCCAGTTAATTAATTCTTACAGAATCCTTCCTGCTTGAGAGTGCATGAGTGCTAGCCAACTACGAAGGAAGAAGCTGCTATTGGAAAAACTACAGTGAGGCAGCACCTGGAAAGCCTCACCGAGGTATGTCTAAAAAAGGTGGAGGAAATGGAAAGGACTATGGAGAGGAAGGCAGAGGCAAGACAGGATTTGGTCTAGACACTTCCCTACTGACATAGTGTATCAGCGTGAGAAAGGGGCACCACCAACTGGGGTCAGCGTGGGCAGCTGGGAAAGGTTCTGCCACTTTCCAGTGGGTGTCAGAGAACTGAATATCTCTAATAAGAGGCAAGTCTGGTTCCTGTTGTTGCTATTCAAATGCAGCTTAAACTTAGCCAGACGGAACACTTTTTTTTTTCTGTTACAGGTTAAATTATTTTGATTTATTCTGTTAATGACTTTGAATGTTAAAATTTTTTCCAGACTGACAGGCATCATGCACAACTGTGTGACTTTCCCTAGGGAGAACATAATGACGTCAATAGTAAAATTTATATGAGGGAGCAATAGTATTTACTTCAGTTCCACATGAAAAGCCAGACTTCCCTAATTTGGGTCAACTGAGTAGAAGAAATATTACTACAATTAGGTACATATTCATGCTGTATGGTGACTACTGAGTCTTGACTGTCAGGGCATTACACAGGCTCCTTCAATAAACAGCTGGTAGTGCCCTGGAGTTACCTCCAGGTTGTAAGTGGCATTCTGCTGATGTACTTTGCATGCCAGGGACATAGCCCAAGCCTGCAAGGTGTCATGATATTGAAAGACTCAAGTGACTATGCATAAATCAACTCATCATATCAAGCCACTACTACACATTAACCACTGTGGAAGACCCTTTGGGAAAAGCTAGATATACACAAAATAAATGAAAATCTGTCTCTAACATACATACAGACACAGAAGCAAAAGGGTGGGGTGGAAAATGCTAAAGTAATTTGCCACAGTCATGCACTTGTGAAGCGCTGAGAGTGACAATCAGGGGTCACCTGACTCAAAGCATGTTCCTAAGTGTGTTCTCTTCTGCTTGCAATAGCGTCCTTTGCCTTTCGGAGCTGTTTTTCCTGCTAAACTCCTTTCCGCTACTTTCTGTTCAGCAAACTCATTGAGTCGATGCCATGATAACTTCAGCTGAAGGGGATGCTAATCAACACATTTGGAAGTGGAGAAGTATGAGTTAATAGCGCTTGACTGTAATTCTCAAACCTCATTATGCTGGGGAGCTGAATTTGTTTATCAGACTTAGCGTTCTGGGGAGCCTGCCATGCTTTGCTGGGGCTATTCCCTAGAATGTTCAGCCCAGCTTGGCTTCCAGCAAGCTCTTTCTAATCTTTCACATGAAGCACCATGAAAATATGGCCTCCCTGACAAGGACCAGATCTGGGAGGAATGCAGAGCTCTGCTCCTGGCTTCACACCTGTGCTGGAGCCCTGATAACTTCCATTACAGCTACCTGTTGTCCTTTCTCTGCTGTGAGATACACAATTCCCAGGGTGGAAAGGGGGCCATGCATTCCTCCTTATCTCCAGACTCTGTGACATAGTAGGTCCTCAGCAAAAGTATATTTCATAGACGTGGATTATTCTCCATCTCCCTACCACACAGGGGTAGGCTAATGTAAGCTTTCTCTTTGAGCTAATGTACTCAGAAACTATAAGCATGGGTTTCTATGACAACCAGCCAGCCAGGAGAAGGAAAGCTCTGTGATGCTCACCATAGCTGCAAAGCTCATTGCCTGATTTTCATCAGGCCCCCTCTGGTTTCTGCAGTCCCTCTTCAGTGGGACCAGGATCAGTTTCCACAACTCATTTGCATACTGTTATTATTCCACATCTGCTGCTGCATATCTTTGTGTTTGCTGTGGCTGGATTTTCTCCAGAGATGTCAGAAGTGGTGCATTAACTCAGATGCCCCAGGGCCCTGGTAGGTCATGACTGAAGGCAGAGCCAAGGGTGAAGAGTACAGCAATACTCTCAGTAGATCCCAGCTATACTGTATGCAAATAGCTTCAATATAAACACAGTCTGGGTTGGCACCCAGCTACAGCTTGCACTCTCCTAACTTCTTAGCAAGGGGCTATAGCTCAGTGTTTCTCAGCCTCAGTGATGTAAGCTTTCTCCAAGTGGCTTGATGTGGGGTAGGGCAATCAGGTAGGAAGATTATCCTTCTTAGCCTTAATTCATAGAAACAATGAACTCAAAACAATGTCTTTGATGCTTCTTCCTTCACTCCTGCTAGGCTCTTTCCCTCCAAACCTTACTGTTACCTCAAAGTCCACAGGTCAGGTTTTGAAAATGCACTCAATGCAACAGTGTGTGGTATTTCAGAGAGCCAGGAAACCTGGTCACTGTTTCTCACATGGAGACAAGCAAGTACCTCTCAGGTCGGGGGAAGCTATTCTATGGCATGTGTCTCATTCAACAAATGATGTGCCCAACACATATGTATGATGGATACAGGGACCTCTTATGAGCTATTAAATCATAAATGTTAAAGGTTGAGGACTCATGACTGAAGCTGTGGAGGAAATAAGCTCACTTGGTGTGGCTTTACAAGACGTTTTACAAGTTAGGTCAGTTAAGTTTCCTAAACAAATACCAGCTGCTAATAAGATTAGCCTTTGTCTCCTAATTCCTATTCTTCTGAAATCCTTTGTAGTGCAGCCATTAAAGCTCAAGTCCCCATGTTGCTCCCTGTTGGCAAAGTAAATTAGGGATTCTGCTAAAAAGACATGAATTTTAATGTTTAAAATTTGCTTTAGATTTATTTAATTTTATTATACTGCTATTTTGTCCACATGTATGTATGTGCACCATGTGTGACCTGGTGCTCCTGGAGGCTGGAAGAGGACATCCAATTCCCTGAACTGTAGTCATAGAGGGTTGTAAGCCACCATGAGGGTGGCTTAACCACCAAGCCATCTGTCCAGTACCAAATGTTTAATTTTGATACAGGGTTTTCTTTGTTTTTTTTGTTGTTGTTTTGTTTTGTTTTTGTTTTTTGAGACAGGGTTTCTCTGGAGCTTTGAAAGCTGTCCTGGAACTCACTCTGTAGACCAGGCTGGCCTGGAACTCACAGAGATCCACCTGCCTCTGCCTCCCAAGTGCTGGGATTAAAGGCGTGAGCCACCACTGCCCGGCAATACAGGGTTTTAAATACGGAAAAATTTAAAAACTAACTAACTTCGGATATTGTTGTGCAATATTTCCATCTAAGATTAAAACATTCCATTCTGCAGAGAAGCTCCTTAAGCAGAATTGTAAACAACTCAGTTTCAGGAAGTCCCTGAAATTGACCAGATTTATTGGGGCCCTCTCTGTCAGAGTAATGGACAAAAGTTGAGATTCCCCCTCAGACACAGAGAAGCTGAGCTGCAAAAGACCCTGACACCAAAGCAGCTACCTGGAAGAAGCAGACACAAGCAGAATTGCCTGGAAGGTGTTTAGACCATAGTCACTTAGAAAGGACACTGTCCAACCTATTGAGCCTGCCATATTCCCAGCTTTGTGAGTTGCCACCCTTGCTAGCCCTGGTGGGTCCTGGTGATGCAGCTGCCTTTGAGTGCTGGTCCTGCAAGTAACCCCTCACCCATACTCCTTTAAGTAACCCCAGCAAAACTCATTGGTTCACCAAGTTGGACTTCGGTGATATCCATACTTTTCTCTCTATTGTGGGATTCCTATCTGAGGTGAGTAGGTGTGTGGTTGCATCTCCCCAGGAAAAGTTTTGTTACACTACAGATATGCAGAACAGGAAACCAAAAACCATGAAGGAAAAGAGAAATACATTTGCCTCTGTACAATCTTTAGTGTATAAAAAAGCCAAAATTAAGTGGGAAAGATCGACTGGAAATGAAATTTTTCCATATATATGATGGATATGAGAAGCTCTTGAATTTAAGAGGAAAATGGAATGCTCAGGTAAATAAAATACATCTCCTTTCACTAGCAATCAGTGAGTGTACTTTAAAACATCAATTTAAAACCCTAAACACTTAGTAGATGAAAACTTTCACATACCAGTATCCATCACATGGCACTGGCGAGGATCTGGAGAAATCAACGATCTTGTGTGTTGTTGATAGAAGAATTATTTCATTTGGACAAAATTACACTGCAACTTCTATTTAAATTCAAATTATACCTATCCTTGGATCTAGCCGGGTTTTTGGTTGCTATGCTAAAAAGAAATACGAAGTAGTGTCTTGTGTTCTGGTTAAACTCGATTTGAGTCCCTGACCCTCCCCAGTCTTAACAGTAAGACTATCATCAATCCATGCAGCAGTCTTCACTCCTACTCATACAACCTTAGAGTCCTAAATACGGCCCAATTAAGCCTCCAGTTGATGATCAAACTTTTGAAACTGCTTGGTACTCCAAATGCCCTGTCTCCCAAATGACACCATAGTAAGATTTGCTACTGCTACCCTATAACTTGTGTTGACTCCATGCTCCAGGTGGAAATTCTATAGGCTTTGATGTTTAGCCAGAAGCTAAATGCAAATGGAATGCAATGGTGATTTCAGTTCTTACCTGTCTCAAGTCATACACACTTAAGACAATGGAAATAACGGTCAAAATGATGATGGCCACCGAGTATTCTATGTAACCCTGAGACAGCCACAGAGTGAGGGTGAAGGCTTGGAATACATAGAATGGATTTAAAACCTGCAGGTACAAAAATAGCACAGGAGTTATTTATTTGGTAGCAATCAGAATTATATCATTTCTTTATAGAATGTTTTTCCATTTTAGCAGCATGGGATAACCTCTGCTATAGAAGAATTCACTTAGAAGTTAATTAGCTAAGGCAAAGGCAATGCCGAGCACATAGAATGTAATACAGCAAAAGCAAACTTACTCTAAGTACTCAGAGCCATGCTCAAAAACTCCCTATTCTCATTTCCAAAACAATACTTCACCAGTAACAAAATCTAGCAATTTGCCATTTATCCATATGTTGTGCGGCAGTCTCCAGGCTAAAACCCTCCATTTTGGACGGCGACTTCTTGAGATATAGGATATACATGGAAAGGTGAAACAACGGGTTATTTTAGGAGAAGATGTTTACAAGGAAGTGAAGCAACAGGGTGTTCTTGTGTTGGTTGGTAGGGGATGTGGAAATACTCCATTTGGCAGGAAAGTGTCATTAAGATCAGAAGTAAACAATTAGGATAGCTTCAGGAAGTTCCTGAAACCTATGGGATTCATCAGACCCGTCCCTCCCCAGGAATTTATAAGCAGTGAAGACTGCTAAGAGTAAGTGGAGCTGTTTAGTTGTCACTCTGACCAAGCAGCCCGGAGGAAGTAGACATCTGACAAAAGGTTAGTAAACATAGATCAGCCACAGTACCTGGAAAAGGTTCAAACCCCCCCCACCCCTAAGCCACAGTGAAAAGACAATTCTAATCCAATGAGTTGCCTCAAAGTTCTGCAGTTCACTCCAGGTTTCTAGGTTTTGAGAGCTGTCACCCATGCTGGGTGGACTTGTGTTGGTACAGCTCTGGCTGAATAAATTATGTACCCATATTCCTGTAAGTAACCCTAACCAAACTAATTGGTTCTCCAAATTGGACTTTGGTGTTGTGAGTAGTTTGGTCTGTTGTCAGTTCCCTGTCTGAGCTGAGTAGATGTTTGCTCATGTCTGTCCACAAATAGTGAGTGTAACATAGCACCATAATGGAGGAAAAACATAATTTGGTCTCATTTTAAAATCATGGGGTTATCTTTCATGTTCTCCCATGCTGCTATTAAAATGGAAGGTTCTTCTTTTAGCCAGGCTATTTTAAGAGAGCACAGGCTTTCTGTCACAGGCCATAGTATGACTCTTTTAGAGGCAATATAATCAGCATGTCCCGCCCCTTGAGCCCAGGAGGACCCTGAGCGGCAGTGGCTGAAGGGACTCTGGCCAGCTCAAACAAGGTGACAAGGTGACCCTGGCAGGCCTTGCTACAAACAAACAAAGAAATCAAACATTAGATTACATTCCTTGAGCTAGCCACCAAGGACTATTATTCCCTTATTTGGCTACTTCCTCCTCCTGTGGGTGACTACCAAGGTCCAGCTATCAAAATATTTAAGTCCAGCAATCAAAAGTCCCTTTGGCTCATCTAATTAACACACCCAATTAAAATTAAACACCTCATTCTAACACAGAGTTTCCCCTTGTACCTTTATAAACTTCCATGTGCCTATGGACCATGTCTGTCTCCTCTCTATCCAGAGCAGTCCCTTTCCCCTTTCCCTCTTCTCCCTTGATCTCTGTCTCCTGTATTTGTCCCTTGTCCCTGCCCTCTGTCCCTCTGGGGCAAATAAATCTCCTTTGTAATGAGAACTTGGCCTTGGGGATCTGAGCCCATACTTTTCCTTCCAATGTCTTTACCAAGGAATGAGCAAATATTGTCAGGGGGATGGTATCACTGACCCCAAAGCTGATCAGCCACAGCATGAGATGTCACCAATTTCAAAGCTGATTAGCCACAGCAGGCACAGGTGTCCCCATAACACCATCAGCTCTTTTATTCCCCATATTTCCCACTTGGTCTTATTGGTTCTTATGAATGATTATAGCAGAGGACTGGGATGAAGCTTGGTTATAGAGTACGTGCTTAGAATACCCAAGGCCTTGGATCAACCTCAGTACCATAGATAGAGAGAGAGAGAGATAGATAGATAGATAGATAGATAGATAGATAGATAGATAGATAGATGGAGCAACCACAATAGAAAGAACAACTCTCAGGAAGGAACTGAAGGAAGGTTTTACAACACACAGTGACAGTGAAAAAGAGAGAGCCCACCAGGATGAAGTGCATTCCCTTCCTGAGGAAGGGCCCTATCATCCTTATAAATTAGATGAAATACTGGCTAACATCAACTCTTCCCAAATGCTACTTTCTTTCATAATTATCTCACACCACACACTGAATAAAATTCCACTTTGCTCCTAACAATGAACTGATAGCTACTTAGTAAGTTAATAAAGCTACACATTAAGGGTTTCTCAAGCCTTTTGGATATTATTTATAAATTTAAAAAGCTTTTGTTTCTTGGTGTTTTTTATTATCCCCATATCAACTGCTTTACTCACAAATTATAGCTCTTGAGTTTACTTGGCATAAAATGCTCTAATTATAGATTATGTACTAATGATAACATGATTCTGAATTTACAGAAATACAGTGGAAATTGCTTAAATATTTCTTCAGAAGAAACAGAAGCAGCATAATTAATTAAGACCCCTTATTCAATATCTTTTCAAACTAAACCTACCCTTTTAATTTTGCTAAGGTTCTGGTTTATGTGTGCTAAGAAATATCAGACTGCTTTTGGAAAGGATCAGATTGACACTTGGGAAGATACTGAGCAGTGTGCAAAAGCATTTGGTGAGTGGTTCTCAGTCAGCAGCCTGCCTTCCCATAGCTGGGCAGGTTGTGCACATGAGGGATGGAAACACATAGGCTCGTGAGAAAGCTATGCGCCCACTTCCTTCTGGTGGGAACATTACACTACTCTGAAAACTAATGCTGAGATAATAAGAGCTCAAGAAATAGAACAATGGTGGACAATATTTTATAATAGACAGATATGGCCATTCTCCAAAAGAAAAATGACCATTTCAAGGGTTAGGAAGAGACTGAAAATACTCTTGGCTGGCAGTATTGCTCAGTGGATAAAGATGTTTGACAGTGCAAGCCTTGGGGATGGGTAAATTCAATCCCTGAAATTCCCATGAATGTGAAAGGAAAGCATGGACTAGAAGTTGTCCTGTAACCTCCACACACACAAGCCTTGGTCCATGCCCCCATGCATCCCCTGTGCCTATTTCCACCTGACACAGCATGCATAAACACAGATACATATGATCACATTTTAAATAGATTTAAGGTGTGGAGCAAGGTGTAAAGCCAGAGAGCAGCAGCCTGGATCAGAGGCAGGTAGCACAAGCTAGGAGCTCAATGCTAGAGGAAGCAGGGACGGAAAATCTCCCCCTAAGAGGCAGGGAACTGATACCAGAGCTATGGTGAGAAGTAGAGGCATAGGTAGGCTTCCTGCCCCAGTACAGAGTCTGAAAATAAAGCTAGCTGAGGGTGGAATAGGACAGAGTTGAGCCCATGGCACAGCCATCTGCACCAAGCCCTACACAGAGCAGAGGGCCGAAGTCACTAAGGGACAAACACCATTGCCTCCAACATGAGCTTGGCTCTGACCCAATAAAACACTGGGGAACAGATGGCAGCAGGTGCAAAGCCATCAAAGATGGACAGCCAACAGAGTGGAAGGGGGAATTTTTTCCACTTAAGGTTGGCTCACATAAACGTACTAATAAAAATGTCAAAACACATGATAAAAAAAAAACCATGATGCTATTTAAAAAAAAAAAAAACTAATGAAAAGCCACACTCAAGAATATAGAAATAGTAAAGTACTGTGTAAAGAACCAAAATGATGCATTTCAAAATCTGAGGGACTGTAGATGTAACAATGGGACTCTGATTAGACTGAATACTTGTGTCCTCTCCATGAGTTCCCTTGTTGAAGCACTGACCCCCAGTGTGGTGGTATTTGGAACTGGGGCTTTGAGAGATAATTTGGGTTACATAGGTCCTGAGAGGCAGAGACCAGACCTCATTCATGAAAAGACACAAAGAGAGGCTGCTGGTCCACAGGCCAGCAAGAGCCCTCAGCAGGGCTTGATACAGCCCTGTGAATCTGGATTTCTACCCAGTCTAGATGGTTGTGTTGTTGTACCCTGAGCAGATTAAGATGCTATACTACCGCCACACAGAAACTTAAGATGACAGAAGAAACAGGATATTACAAAACAGGAATCTGACTCTCACTGAGAAGTGTATTTAAGCTTAAAATAAGGGGGTGTGGCTGGGTGTGGGCTGGTTTAGCAGTTGAAGGCACTTGCTGCCAAACCCGTTCACCTGAGTTTAATCCCTGAGACCAACTTGGTGAAAATGGAGAACTGATTCCTGTGACTTACACACATATATGTACACACACATACATGACTATGTCCCCAAACACATAGATAGATGGTAGATAGATAGATAGATAGATAGATAGATAGATAGATAGATAGGAGGCAGCTGTAAAGGATCAGTCACAAATTTGTGTATGTGTGTTTGTGTGTGTGTGTGTGTGTATGTATGTATGTGTGTGTATGTATGTATGTTTGCTGAGATTAAATAAAAATGAAAGGAAGCCTTAAGAAACAGAAAAAAATATAGGCTAGTGTCAAGAAGCAGTCTCATGAAACAGAGATAGCATTCCCACTGAGGGATGCAAGTGTTATTTATAGCCCTCTGAGGCCAAGAAATTAACAAGCAAATTCTCTTTTTCAAAAAGAAGAAAATATCTAGTTACCTGTTTAACCAGCAGCTTCCATATGGGCTGGATCTCCACCTCGATAGCATTGGGCCCACACACTAACCTTCTGTGGGAGATTGACCATCTGTTAGTGTCAGCCTAGAAGCCCAGTGACAAGTGAGCACAGGCAAGCTTGCCACAAGTCACCCACTTCTCTGTCCTTTAGGCATCTTTTGCCTTGAAAACCACTGTACCCTTATATCATTCTTAACCATTAATATATTTTTAAGATGAAAGTTGATGCATGATGAACATAGTTGGGTTTTCCTGCTTTAAACTGTCTTTGTTACAACTTGGTTAGTCAAAATGAAATTAGAAAGACATTTTAAAAAATAATTTGATTACATCCTAAAAGCAGCTAAACAGACACAGGTCTGAAGATATTCCTAGACTTACCAGGCATTCGGTTTACTCCAGACATCATTGATGGTGTCTGTCTTGCCCTGGAATCTCCCAGAGCAGTTCCCTCTTGTGAATCCACTCAAGTCACCAGAGAACAAGTTCCTGGAAAAATGCTCTATGATTGTCACTTGCAAGTGCCTCCTTCCCACACAAGGTGCAGGACACATGTTTGGGTTGTGTTATATAATTTTTAAAGTTTTTGCAAAACATTCATTTGATCCTTACAGTATTATATATTACATAATATTATAGAGTTCTAAAGGGTCAATTTTGCCAGTAAGAAAAGTCGTTCACTGTGGGTGTTTGGCCAAAAGTTCACACAGCTAATATTAACTATAACTATGGAACTTTTAGGTTTAATATTAACAAACACTTTGTATGATCACGGTTTACAAAGAAAACTGAAGTTCCAGCAAATTTAGTAACCATCTCAAGTTCAAAGAGCCAGAAAAGAAAGCTACTCCCAGCCATGGCCTCTATGACATTACAACTGCAACTCTGCAAATACCAGTATGGAGAGCCTACCTGAGGGGCTTTTGGTCTTGCTATCATATAACACAGAATGGACTGAGCACTGCTTGCTTGACTTTTAAAGCTTGTTACACCAACTTTAATTATTGACTGCCACAGACAGAGATGACTTACACTAAGGACTTCTAACTGTAATGTGGGGGGAACACTGAGGCTCAGGGAATGGAGAGTCAGAGAGGAAGACGAGCCACACTGCTGTGTGAATTCATGAGCCCTAAATCTCATTCTGGAATCTCAAAAGACTTGAACTCAAGCCATGTTGAGTCTGTAACAATAATCAGTTTTTGGCCAATTGTCAGAACCTCTCAGTACCCAAGGCTTGGTCTGTCTGTCTCCCCTCCCACTCCCCACCCCGCACACATGGAATGCTCACTCCACAGTCTTCCCTTTGCAAATACTACTCAGCCTTTAAAAGCCAAACCTGACAACCAAGCCGAGTGGCTCAGAACATTGGAAGTGAACACACCTAGCTCCACACCCAGCAAGCTTCTGCCCTTGCTATTCCTTCTGCCTAGACCAGTTTCCTTGTTTCTTTGCATGGCTCACTGCCTTGATCCATTCTGGTCTCTACAAAGTATTTCCTTCATGAGGCCTTCCATAACAATCATTTTTAAAACAACCCCTCCCCTGGGCCTGGGGGTATGGCGTCATGGTAGAGCATTTGCTTAGCTTGTGCAAGACCCTGGGTTTGCTCCCTAGCACTGGGAGGTTGGGAACCCTATCTAACTTTCCTCAATTTCTTTAACCTAATTTTTCTTTACAGCACATATGATTACCTGAACATAGACCATATTTGTACATATGTGTGTACCTGTGTTCACGTGCCGGTGGGCGCATGTGCACATCCGTGTGTGTGTGTGTGTGTGTGTGTGTGTGTGTGTGTGTGTGTGTGTGTGTGTGTGTGTGTGTGTGTGTGTGTGTGTAAGCCATAAGAAGGCCTTCACTGTCCTTCCCCAGAGGCTGTGCACCTGTTATTTTTAGACAAGGTCTCACATAGAACATGCCAGGTAGGCTAAGCTGGCTAGCTAGTAAACCTCAGTTCATGTCTCTAGAACCTCCTAGATTACAAATAAGCCCTGCCATGTTTAGCTCTTTTCACATGGGTTCTAGTGATCACACCCAAGTCCTCATTCCTCCAAGGCAAGTTCTTTACAAGCTGAGATATCTTCACAGCCCATACCCAATTTTTCCAATGTTTTAATTGGCTGTTTCTGCCATTACAATAATATAACCTTTGGAAGGACACTAATAGATCCCAGAGAGCTAAAATTGAGCCTAACACATACAACATAGTCAATAATTATCTGTTTAAATTAATGGATAGCCAAATTGGAGGTGGGGAGGAACCTTGGTTTACTCATCTGAAAAAAAATGAATTTGATAAAACATGCTTAATAAAACTGTGATCAATGTCTTAGTAGGATAAATATGCAAAGCAGTTGTCACAGGTGTGCCTAGGACATGGCAAACCCCAGTTAAATGGCAGTTGTCTTTGAAGTATGACTCTGTCTGACACAATTAAATTTTTTCACTCCTTTAACAACACGTTTTTTTTTTTTCCCACTGGCATCACTTACCTCATTGAATTAGAACATATTTACATGTTTTCATCCTCAAATCTCATCAGCTGTTTTTAAAGGCAGACAGAGATCTTTTTCAGATCTGTTTTTTTTTTTCTTGGACCTGGGGCTAGACAGGGTATGTTTCCTAAAATGTTGGAGTTAATGAAAACCATGGGGACCCATCTCTAGAGTACACTCTCCCCTGACAAGATTCAATCCCTGATGGCACAACTAAAGGCATACTAAGAGTACAGAAATCCAACTGAGAATGCAAGTTGAGGGTCTGAGATCATTCCTGAAGTTGCCATTGAGGGAAGAGCTCATGTCCTGGAGAAATGAATGGATGGGGTGGTGTGGATCGAGCCTTGCCTGTGACCAATGTTTTGGAGCTCCTCTGGGCCATGTTGGAATCACAGCCAGCCTGCTCTTTGCTGTTTTATCATGTCTACTGTTCTTTGCCAAGAGAAACTCTAGCATGTGTAGAAATTGTGTACCCATATCAATCTCAGAGCCAGCCACAGAGAATTCTCAGGGATGTTGACCAGTGGTGGAGCAACTAGAAGAAAGATTAGGCTGGAAGCCAAGTCACACAAGGAAAGGTCAAAGTTATCTTCCACAACTACAGGTCTGATGCGGTGGCAGAGAAAAGAGGTTGAGATTGCTCTGTGTGGCCTTTCCAAATAGTGCAGGCCAAACACAGCGAAGTGGGTTTGCCTAACATCTGTCACTATCCATTAGGGGAGAAACTGCTGTGATGGCAGACAGCCCCTTCTCAGAGGATGGACCTTAACCAAGTCTACAGCTGAGAACCCTAGAAGGGAATTTCATTCTTGCTGCGCTTTGTGCTTCTCGGTTCACATGGGATTTCCTCCAGTTCTGAGATATTCAGATCTTGTGGCATGTGTGATTCTGAAATACCAAGTGTGAATGGTTAGGAGTATTTCCCTTTGAGGGATAATCCATTCCCTTTTTCAATTAGCTTGGAATTTTTTTCCTTTACTGATTCAAATGAACACATTACTACATCTCTCAAAGAATTGCAAGAGAGCTTTGTGTGAGATCCTGGAGCCCTGTAGACTAGAGTCGGGGTCCTTGACCTGGAAGTAGGGATGTGCTACACTCACTGGTGTGTTTCTCAGACTTCACAGCAGCTCTCAGCTTCTGTCCACTCTTTCCATTCTTCTGGCCTGCTAGCCTGCAAAGGCCTGCTAGCCTGCAAAGGCCTGCTAGCATGTGAAGGCCTGCTACCCAGTGAAGGCATCTCTGGCAGGGGAGATTGCTACAGTTTCCCAAGTAGTCAAGGCCAAGCGAAAGATTCCAGCATGACTCACTTCTGTAGGAAAGCAAATTGGGAAAGCTCCTCCGTAAGTCTGCTGCTGCGCCATTCACTGCCTTGAAATTCCTGCTTTACAAAGGCTTTATAAAGGGAGGGGATCTATGACATCCATGCCTGGGATTTGGATATAATTGCATAATATAATAAATGGATTGATCCTAGAAATCCCCCATTACAGAAAACTTTTT